CCTTCGGCCGACGAAGTAGGAAAAGGAACACAACGAGACTCGCGATGAAGATGGAGGGGGTGGGGGGGGAGGGAGAAGGGAGGGAAAAGGAGAAGGAGGGGGGAGGGCAGGTCGCGTGCCGGCGTGGTGCTACTCTGGAGCTGAAAGAGAGGAGAGCACTTACCTTACCGACGTCTCTCACGGTTAAACACGCAGGGGAGCTCCTTTGCGTATATTCCTCCGCGTGCGTCTCACATACACAGGGAACGGGGGGGGGCCCGGGGGGGGAGGGGTTCTCCAATATACGTACATGTGCACTCGCGTACAAACAGCGTGGTTTCCCTTCCCCCGTGTGCGGACATCTCCACGGTGTGTTCTCCCGGTTGTGTGGCTCACCTACCTACCTACCTACCTACCTACCTACCTACCTACCTACCTACTTACTAACCTACCCGCAGCCTACGGATTCAGTCTCCCCGCCCAATCGACGGTACTCACGACGGTACGTACCTGCGTGTTTGTGTACGTCGTGGCTGCTGCACGTGTGTGTGTATGTATGTATGTGTGTGTGTGTGTGTGTGTGTGCGCGACGTTCGTACGCGGCATCGCCCGTCTCACACATCGGCACACGATTTACTCACCACAGTACGGACCACTCCGCTCTCATCGCGTCTCACGAATCTCCTCTGAGAGCGCTCGGTTCTCGCTGATATTCCGCCTCGTCCGAAGGAAAGAGAGAGAGAGAGGAAGAGGGAGGATAGAGGGAGGGGAGGGAGATATCACACGCCTCGAGAGAGGACCTGGACAACGGAGCACGGGCACCAAACGATCGCCGGACGGTGGTGAGCAACGTGGTTAGCTCCTTCCGTCGCTCCTCCCGTGAGAGAAATCAACAGTCAGGACTCGACTATCCTGTCGAACGCGATATATACGCGCATCTCGATATACATCCAGGGCTCCGAGATCGACAGTGTGATCCCACGGGAATCTGTCATCCAAGTTGGACCATCGCTAGGAGAAATTATTAATAAGGTCGTCCTTTGGCATCCGATTGGAACAGGAAGATACATAACGAACTCTAGTCAGGAAGAATAAAGTGGGAAAGAGAAAGAAAGAGAGAGAGAGAGAGAGAGAGGGAAAGAATTGTTTCTCTTCGAGGAAATCGGGAGACTGTCTGTTGTGGTGTGTGATATATTCAAAAAAAGGGACACGCGTTGTACAGCCAGAGAAGGAACGATCGAAACCGTTATCCGAGCACGTGGTCGCGATACCACGAGGTGCAAGATACGAAAAGCTTCCGGTGGTTTCTGGATGTACTGTCGAGAAGAACGGTATTCGGTACGTGTCAACGAAATGTTCGCGCGGACGTTCTGGTATCTGGTATCCTCGTAAGGGCGTCGACGTCTCTCGCGCACGTGGAAGGACCTGGGAAAGAGGGAGAGTGATCACCTTGTGTAAGAATAGTGTGTTGTTGTAAAACCAGTGCAACTATTATTTCCTCTGCAACTATTATTTTCACTCCATCTATTCTTCTACGGTGTGTCATTTGACTTTCTTCCTTTCTTGTTTTTCCTTTTTTTTCCCTTGCTCCTTTTATCTCTCTGTCTCGCTTGGATTGCCTTATGAGAAGAGCAAAGGAAAAGTGTCACGAAGTCAACGGAAGTGCAGGAACTATTGTCACCCTCGGCTTCAAGGTCGTGGCATGACGTATAAGGTAAATTTACGATGATTTACTATACTATAGTATAGGTCTCTCCTTCCTCTTTTATTATCATCACAGCGCGGCGCTGAGACATCATGTATTAGGTATACATTATAGTATTCCGAGCAGCACTCTGAATATTTATAAGCGTCACATGACACTCATCGGTATTTTCCAGAGAAAAATAAGAGCGTTTGAATTTACTTATTATTTCTAGTATTCTGCAGGAATCATTAATCTGATCACGTCAGTGACAATCTTGATAAAACAATTGAACATGAAATGATAAAAATGTTGAAGGAGAAATTTAAAAAAACTATAAGAATTGTCAAATATAAAAAAATGGTTTATAATACGCGCAAATCCAAAGCAATTAATTAATGTATCAAATTAATTTGATGGATCTTATTTTATAAGTTAAAAGCACAATTTCGTATTCTTGTTAAAGAACGATTTTGCTCAAGTATAAAAATTTAATCTAAAAATTTAGCTAGAAATCCGAAAATAATTTTGTTAAATTATTACAATAATTACGTAGAAATCTCAAATACGATGAACGATGCTGCAAAAATTATCGACATTCTAGCAGCTAGTTTGAGAGTCTTGCATAATTATTTTAGTGGTCCAACAAAATAATTATTTTCAGATTTTTATTTAGCTAATTCGTAGATTTATAGACCAGCAAAATAATCCTTTTTATGTCTTCTTCCCCAGGTAAGATCGTAAAATTGTCACGAAAGTAATTTATAATTGTTTTTAAAAGTTTATGAACGAAATCTTTAATGTTTGTAATATTCGAATGTTAACATTGAAAAAGCTCCTTGTAGATTAACGCTCTCAATATTTTCTTTGGCGCGGCGCCGCGGCGGTGCATCCGACGTCGTCGACGAAATCTCGATTCGTACTCCTGGCGCCGGCGTCCCGCGTTCCCGGTAATTATCGAGTTCCTGTGAAATGCAGACCACGGTGTCGCGTGCGCAGCAATCTGCGAGCAGGAACATTGAATAGTAATAGGCAGAGAAAGGGAGATTTTCATTTGAATGAAAACAATGCGCCTGAGTGTGATCGCGGAAGTTGTCCGACAATTCGTCGACAAGTGTACATACTCTGCGAAAGCAAAATATGATAATAACTATAATTAACTAACAGAATGCATAATACAATTGCTATTGCAATTGCTATTTTTAACGTGATTTATGATATATATTTGCGAATGCCTCGATATCTTTTTACTAAGATTGTTAATAAATTCAATTTAATGTGACTTTGTTTTAGATTATTATTTAGATGTATAGGTTTTTTGGACATTATCTAGAAATCTTTCTGGATTAGTTTTACTGTTACCCACGACTACAATGCTTAATTAATAATCATAAATTTAGATAATAACAGGATATGGAAACAGCGATTTTGCTGAAGTATTTAAAAATTTAATTAGATATAAATCTGAAAAAAGTTTTGTTGGATTGAAATAATTATATGGGATGCTTAAAGTGATTGCTACAATGTCAAAACTTTTTTCAGCATTACTTGTATTCATGCTTGAATTTCCTCCTTGTAATTATTTCGATGGTCTAATAAAATTATTTTTAGATCTGTATCTAGCTAAATTTTTAGACACCTTGGCAAAATGTTTTTTTTTTTCCCGTGTAGAATTCATATAAAATACTCGTGAGTATCATTGCACGAAACCGATGCAGATTGATACCAAGAAAATCTTACGTAACGCAATTAAAAGGGACGCAAAGTCACGCCTATAAATTCGCGCTCTCGTGGGTTTCAGCGCGAAAATGCGTTGGACGTCTAATTCGTTCGAGACCAGTTCTAAAGCTGCGCTTGCGATCTCGCGCAAGAGCAAATCGCCCACGCTCGTCCTTATATCACCGAACGGTTCGTTTTGCCGCCCAAGAAAGCAGACGTTGCAAAAGCTATGTTCCTGCGTCATCCCTGCCGTTTCCTCGTTCATAAATTTACGTGCCTCCAGGCGCGCGCGCGAGAGGGATGGGAAACAAGTGAGATTGTCCGATATGCGAGGCACGAAAGACCCTGATAAATATGTTTACGTTGGAATGGTGAAAATAACGCATATACAATTTACATAATTGCAAAACTCTTAACAAAAGTGACGGAGTGTCGAATCATCACGCGACATTCACATTAGTCACGAAATCTCATTTATATACAAACCTATCGGAGATATTTAGTCATTAAATGCCAACAATTGATAGATTGTGCGTTAAAGTTTTTACAAATTATAATCGCTGAATACTGCAAATGGGGAAAAAAGTAAACGTTTATCGATGAAAATCAAAATCAAATTTCGCAAAATCCGTACAATTTTATTTCTCTCGTTAAATTATTCTCAGAGAATAAAGACGCGGGTCAGAATATTCGATTGAGTAGCACGAGAGATATGCCAGCGATACATTATTCATAGGGCCTGAGCTACGACAGCATACGCAGCAGACGCGCTACCGAGTGTACAATGACGTTAACAGTTAATTGATAACAGGTAAGTCGAGTGCGCGGGACGCCGCGCCGGTGATTTTTGTTGCCGCCGAGCGATGCCGATCTCGATATAGACTGACCGACGCAACACCGTTAACAGTTATGTGAACCCGACGCGGCCGAGAGCGGCAGGCCACTCTTGTCCCGTGGTCCATTATTTTCTTCCTCCTTACTCTATTGCTCATACTGTTGCCCGATCCATCTCTGCCTCGCTATCGGCAATTTGTTAGAATCGGCTTCGTACGTGCGCCGACGCACCCATGACTATCCGTATGCGATAAATCGCAAATTACGACGGGCGCGAACATCGCGCACATTGCACGAAAGTAATTGTAAATAATACGCGCCCGATCTCCTCCTTTCGCCTTGGGAATAACGATAATTTGTACGACTGCGCGGGCAGTAAGAAAATTTGAAGAGGTAAATCTACGCGAATAACGAGTAAGATCTTCCAGACGTAGATCTTTCCTTAGCTTCACGAAATTGATTGACGGCTACTTATATGAGATCGATCAGAGGAAAACAAATTCAGATGTACAGTTATAAAGATCGTAATAATTCGCATTTATAGTCAGCACGTTGCATTTCAAATCAATCTAACCAATCAATCTAATCACTAAAATCTCGTTCGATTTCAGCAATTTTATGTAATCACATATGAAAAAAATTATTTTTGAATCTAAAATTTTAGATACAAATCTGAAAATAATTTTGTTGGATCATTAAAATAATTTTATAGGACACTTAAACTCTGCTAGAATGTCAAAATTTTTTACCATAATATTATCTCAAATACTTGAAAAAATTCTTAGAAAATTATTTTGATGGTTCAAAAAAATTATTTTCAGATATTTAATTAAATTTTTAGAAATTTTAGCAAAATCATTCTTTCATATAATGTATTATTTTATGTATAAAAAAACGAGTCTAAAACATGTGATTAAACGTAAAATCGAATAGAATATCGAGTTAGATACGGTTTAATACAAAATCGTACATGATGAGACTCCGCCCATTCCGTTTTTCTTTTCAATCCCATCCTTGCAAAACCGAACGGAACATGGCAGTGTCAAGGGATATTACGCGAACGACATCGGGATCCTACCTCTTTTTTCTCCTTTTCATTGCTCAACAATCCTGGCAAATGTATACAAGCGACATGCCGGTATTTGAATACGCCGGCTATTACGAGAATAGAGAGCATGACAATCATGAGAGACTCCCAGACGTTCGAACAATGTCCTCACCTCGATCCTGGACTGGCGCAAACGGCAATAAAACGGGCCCCGAACGACATTACCGTCACCGAGTACCGGCCATTAAGTACCTCTATCGCAGTAATCTTACCGGTATCTTCCATAACCTGCAGTGATGCGTACACATTGTCTTTATATTAAATAATTTTCATGCATTGCAGAATAATATTTCATGTATAATTAAATTATGTTCTTTTAAATATTAATATAAAATAATATATGATCTTATCTTATTTTATGAATTAATTTATTCATTCTCGAATTCTAGAGGAGAATGTAATGTAAAATTTACAGTATTAATATTGTTAACGATTTTATCTCTTTTTTTTTGTTCTTCATCTTTCAATTTTATTCAATATCCCCTTTTTTTTATTGCGTTTCAATATATTTTATAAAGTTCTCTTTCTCGAGGTGAGGTTCAATTAAAAATTCTGTTTTATTGTTTATATATTTTTATGATAAATGATTCTTCAATTCGATAAAATATAAATAAAAATATTTGAAATTTGAAGAGAGAGAGAGAGAGAGAGAGAGAGAGAGAGATTGCAATATTAGATTTTTACAAATATCAATAGTCAACCGCACATAGGCGAAAAAATTATTGGAGTAAACGCAATTTTTTTACGATATTAACGGATTCAAATGATACTCCGTCAAAGAACGAGCTTATACAAAAAGCCGTTTAGGAGAGGAAAATTGAAATAATTTCAATCGTCTTTTTGTGCCTATGGCCATAAATGTAAATTCGTTTTGTGACGAAGACGGGATCTCTTCGGTGGCATAAAGCTGATGCGTGGGCTCGCATGCCATGCCGAGTCTATTTATACATCCTCGCGCGTACAATGGACTTGCTGCCTTTAAATTAAATTCGAGCAGTACCGCAATGCCATTGTTAAATTTCATTGCCGTTTAGAAACTTTATCTCGTACTACAAACAATCCACGTGGACCAAGAAAACTTCGATTAAACAAAATTTACGATTCACATTGAGTGACAGCGTGTAATAAGAAATTCCATAATAAGCAGGATATTTTATATGTAATATAGATATTTGTATCTCATTAATAATATCTATCGAGTATTGACAAATCCGAAAACTTTAATGTTATCTCTCTACGGATATATCCGTAGGAAAATATGCTAACTAGTTTATTAAAAAAAATTATGTACGTAATCTCTAAAAATATCACATCTCGTGTCAAAATGTCTATAAAAAATCAATCATAAAGAACGTTTATGCTTTAACGA